AAAAACAGTGATTTATATGTGATTAATCAATTCAAAATTTTTTGTTTTAATTAAACCTAAATAAAATTGAATTTATATTTTGTCATCTTTATCATAATTAGATTTTCTTTGGGCAAAAGATGTAAATCAAATATTTCCTGAAATTTTTAATTTATTAAAGAAATATAATTCACCTGTCTAGATAATTTAATTAATAAATGTGCGCATGATTATTTATAAAGGATCAAAATTAATTGGTCGAGTTCCAAATTTTATCACATATCAATTGAATTCTTGATGATTCTGAAAAGTGATTATAATAACAGCATATATGAACTATATATACACACTGTTACCAATTGAAACCACTTCTTTTAGTAACTACAATTGCCCAAATACTTGTGGACAAATTTCATTTTTTATACACATATTTTGATCAATTTATTCAAATCAAAACACCATTAGATGTGGATATTTATTTTACAGCTTGAAACATTTTTCAAGTCTTTCTCTTTCAGTGTTTATGAGTTAATTCAATTTTAAAAAACTGTGTAATTACTTTTAATAATCTTCTTGATTGAACTAGTTTTTCCCAAGATTAGGAAGAACATTTAACTTGTAGTTTTCAGTCCATTTATAAACTGAGTAATTCAGAAATCTGTACATGTGAATTAAAGCTCCATACAAACCGGCTCACAGTAAATAACCTAATAAGCTCACAAACTGGTCCATGAGGGGCTTTAATGTGAATCAATCATTTGTTTTAGTAATAATACCATAAGATACATATTTCTTCTTATTGACTTTCTCCATTTCCCACATAATAACAGTAATTGACAGTTTGTTTACATAAATAGATGTAGAATAATAAAAAGAAGAAAAGAAGAAAGTGTATTTGTTAATAAATAAATATTTATTAATATAAATTTTTTTTTTGATTTGTTGCGCGAATTTTCTGCACAAATCCTGCTAATAGATTATTGGCTACCTTTAATGTAACACGTGCGCCCGCACTCAATTTCACACACTGGATGTAACTTTATTAATTTTCATTCCCATTTAAATTGACATATATAAATCTTTTCAAATTATAATAAACACTTATTGTGTATGAACTATTTTATTTATTTTCGCTTCCTATGTTATAATATAAACATTATAGTTTGCATGAATCTTTAAGCAACATAAAAATTATAACCAACAATAAAAAATAAAATAAATATAAGATGGAAGTAAAAAAAGTTAAAGAGATAAATGAAGTTATCAAAGAGCCAGAGAGCAAATACAGCCTATTTACTATATTTTCTATTTAAAATAAAATTAACAGTTAATATGTTTACAATGGTAATGGTAGTAAATAATAAAAATACTTACCTTTTATTTATTATTTAAAATAAACAAAAATCAACAGTTAATATTTTTCAAGAATAATATTGTATGTAATAATAATGATGAGAATACTTACACTCTATATTTATTATTTAAGCTAAAACGAAAATGACATAATCAATATCATAATATTATTAACGAAATGGAGCATTAGGATAAGATAGGGTATTTCTATATTCAAGCTGTTGATCACTAGGAATTTCTAAGATTTCACTTGGAATTGCATTTTTTTTATTTCTATATTTTACAATCATGAATGTTGCTATTCCAACTAATATTACTCCAACTAAAATTGCA